GGCATACCGTTCATGACGTCGTCTCCAGACTCTATGCCTGCCGTCCACGAATCTGAGGGTAAATCTGGATTCATCGCTAAAGACGACTCGATTCCAGTCTCTCTGGGTCCATCGGAGGTGACGTTGGGCCCACAGCAGACATTTGGCGTTGATGAAACGGCGTCAATATTGGCCCACGATATGGACGTCGAGAATGGAGATTGGCAGCCCGCAACCGATTTCGAATGGTCTGTGAGGACAGTCGACCTCTAAACATCTCAGCCCTGGTTCGTGTAGCCGGCAGAAATCTGTCACGTAGGTGACGTAGGACGATTTGACGGTCTTCTGCTCGTGACGTCACACGTGGACAACCCGACCTTGGGCGATCAGAAGTGGTGCCAGTTTGTTGTAGACGACCTCGCAAGTCATACACAGTACGACGGCTGCATCCCATTGCTCTTGCGACGTCAATAACTGATCTTCCCGCTTGCAACATGCCAGCGGCACGTTCACTTTGAACATTTGACAATCGTGGCATTTCAAGTACCGTTAGAACTGTGGTTTAAAAGTGTTTTTTCAATTCTTGAGGCCAATGCAAACACGTGCATATGACGAAAGAAGATCACGTGATCGACTGCATGTGCAAAACCTGATTTGGCACTAACGTCATTTGCACGACGAATGGATGGGTTTGAGTGGGTTTTGCTAACGTTTTTCTAGAGTCGAAAGATAGGGATCCCATTTCGGATCCATAGATGTATCATGAGAGAAAAATTTGTTCAGTATTTTTCAAATTACATTTTGTTTCTTTTTTTACTCAGTATACATAAGCTCTCTCTCTTTCCGTAAACTATAAGAAGACTAGTCTAGTTGACATAACGGCTCTCATGGGTCCAACTGAGTGTATTTCTGGCGAACTTGCGGGCTTGTTGTGGTGATTGTTCGTGCGCTTCCAACAGTTTTTGGACATGTAATTATAGATCTACAAGTTTCTAAACAACAAGCATTGTCACTAAGGTGACATAATCCCCCGCCACAAATTATCAAATCAAACTTATAAAGTAATGAAAGTTTAAGTTAAATGTCAACAAAAACATGACCAGTCAATCTTGATATCTTGCTCTTTAGTGTTCAAACACACACATATTTTCAAGACTGACTTAGACCTTGACATGAATGTCATTATGTATGAAATAAGCAGAAATAGTACTAAAGAAATTGCTTTTGAAAAACATTTAAGGGAAGTCTTGAAAGTCTGTGCAGAAAATCTGTTTTTGAAATATCTTGCTGACAATTCAGGTTAACATGCTGAAATCTTCAAAGTGTCTCTGTGACCTTGAAAATTAAGTGAAGGTCACTTAATCGAATATCGACTGGGCCCTGCGCTTTCCCTGGATGAAGCTTGGTGTCAAATATGAAGAAACTCCAGTGAATGGTTCTTTAGGTATCTTGCTGACAAGCATAACCTGCAGGTTAATATGCTGAAATCTTCAAAGTGTCTCTGTGACCTTGAAAATTAAGTGAAGGTCACCAAAATTGACTGGGCCCTGCGCCTTCCATACGTAAAGCTTGGTTTCAAATATGAAGAAAATCCAGTGAACGGTTCTAAAGATAGCTTAACATGCAGCTTTACATGCTGAAATCTTCAAAGTGTCGCCATGACCTTGAAAAGTATGTGAAGGTCACCAAAATCGACTGGGCCCTGTGCCTATCCTAGATAAAGCTTGGTATTGAATATGAAGAAAATCCAGTGAACGGTCCTTGAGATAGCTTAACATGCAGGTAAAACGTTAAAGTCCCCTTGTGACCTTGAAATGAAGGTCAAGGTCACCAAACCTGATTTGGACCTTTGTTATACTGTGATGAACCTAGGTACCAATTATGAAAAGAATCTAGTGAACGGACGGACGGACAGAGCCTAATACTATATCCCCCGCTTCGCGCTAAACGCGCGGCGGGGGATAACAATATTATATCTGTATGTAACTAATCAACTTTAATCTTTAACATTGGGCATATATTTCAATTCTCTGGGAATATTTTAGTCTCACCTTTTTCTGGTCATTCATATATTTTTCAGCGAATTCATTTAAAATTCAACTTGGGGTATAACAGCAATGTTACACGTGTGTTCAGTTTGAGAAATATTATAAAAGTCATTGTTTTAGTTTCTGTTTTGGGATTTAATGTAGCGGGGTTTTTTTAGAAATTTTATAGAACAAATCCCATTTGTGATTATTAAACCCTTTTCAGAAATATAATTGGAAATATAAGGTGAATATCTGCCGTGGTAATAATTACGTCAGAATATGTCTTTAACAAATATGTTTTTCTCTTTCTTTTAGTTGTACCAAGGAGGCTTAATTCTTTCATATAAATAAGCAAAAACAAAAACAGCAATAAAATGTATGAGTACTTCGGTGATATTAAGTACCATTGGAATCAAACAGGAATATCGTTAGAGTTATCGTTCCTGTTTGAAGTAGTTCTGATGTTCCTACGCCAATATGAAATTCTTCGAGAGGGGCACGAGTCGCTCTTCGGCTTGTCCCGGAATAACACGAGTTGGTCACGAATGAGTACAATCCATTATGACAAGGCCGGACACTTCGGTGAACCCCAGCCGACCGTCGATTGAGACCCGATTGTGTCTCTCAACTAAACGATCTCGACAGAAATGGATGACGATATATCCGCAAAAAACGGGTGTGCGGTCGAAGCAAGCCCTCTCGTTGGCTGATGTTTGTTAAGGAGATTTACAAATGATGCTTTCTTTTGAGAAGCCATTGCTGGAAAAGATATCTTACATTTTCTCCAAGTCAAGCAGTCGATGAAAGTAAAACTTCCCATGAATTTATAAAGAATGTGCACGATTTACAAGCGTTGACCATTCAGAGGACTTGTTTCGACCACACACCCCTGCCTAGCCCTCCCTGCAATGCTAAAGCCCTAAAAGAAGCAAGTCTAGATTCCGTCTAACAGTCCCTGAACCACATTATTTTACCTACTGCCTAGCCCTCCCTGCAATGCTAAAGCCCTAAATGAAGCAAGTCTAGATTCCGTCTCACAGTCCCTGAACCACATTATTTTCCCTACTGCCTAGCCCTCCCTGCAATGCTAAATCCCTAAATGAAGCAAGTCAAGATCCCGTCTAACAGCCGTGAACCACACTATTTTCTTTACTGCCTAGCCCTCCCTGCAGTGCTAAAGCTCTATATAAATCAAGTCTAGATTTCCTCAGGTTCAGGAATCTCTGGTCTCCTCCCTGCGGGTTCTTTTCAATTTATTTGTTACAATCAAAATTATATATATTCCGAGACTAAGCGTTAGTCTATAACTTATTCAATTTATGTATTCGCCTTCAGTCCAAACACTGTGTAGTTGTGTGTGGCTGTGCTAGTTTTGTCCAGGCTGCTAACGCGGCGGCGTCCGTCTATGCTCCCACCCGGCCCCCTCCCCGTCCCAATGGTGTCGTCCCGGAAGGCTAAAGTGTATTTTTCAGATGATATTTCAGATTTCCTCTAGTTCTAATTTCCAAGGGAGATGGGGAGTACCGCCAAAGCTAAAGATACGGTGACGGGAAGCATAATCTATGTTGTGAGTAGATAGATTTCTTTCAAAACATTGTTATAGTAAACTGTTTATCTTCTTCGCTTGTTTTGAACTTTAAGATGAAAGTAATTACAGGGGAATCACCATAAACAGCTGCTTTTCAAAACTCTTTACCTCGGTATTAAATTATTAACAGCGAGACTTGTGTGCAAAATACAACATCATCTCTGATGCTCACTTCGCTTTCAAATCTGGTGGACATCAGAGGTAGACTATGAAAAATTATCGTGTTTATGTATGACACTGTGAAATCATGTGTTAAACGCAATGGTGAGTTATCTGGCTTCTTTCTAAGCTCCCTGAGCTGGGTATTAAACAAGGGGAACTAATGTCACCAATTCTTTTCTCCCAATATCTTGAAGATATTGAAGTAGCACTACAGGAAAATATCGACGCAGGATTGCTGCTTGACTATATTAACCTTTTTATTTTCGGACGATATGGTGCTCATATCCGAATCATCTGGAGGTTTACAGCTATCACTTAATACGCTTTCCAATTATTGCGCAGACTGGAGCCTTAGCGTTAATGTAGACAAAAGAAAAAGTATGTTTTTTCGTAAAGGAGGGACGATTCGACCGGAGGAAATATAGTGCTTTCTTACACAAGCTTAGAGAACTCTAGCAGGCAAAGGTCTTAAAGCTTATACTTTACTTATAAATGTCAGTTATTACAACTTTTCACTGAAAACCTTGTGTGAACTATTCGACACTTTTGTTACATTACTGTGATGAATGGTGAAGTGTGGGGTATTGTGAAATGTTCTGAATTTGGAAGAATTCACAATTTTGCAGGCGTATTTTGCAGATCAATGCCAAATCATCTACAGTTGCTGTATACGGCGAACTAGGGAGGTACCCTTTATATATAAATAGGTATATCCGTCTCTTACGTTATTGGTTTAAGCTATTACACAGTGAAAACTGTTTATGGTAGCAGGCCGTTTATGGTATATGTTTAAATGGTCTAAATAATGGTTATAAATCATGGTTACGTAGTGTTTTTCTATAAACTTGCTTTTGGGCATGTTTGGGAATTTCCAATTGTAAATGTTTGATCATCCTGTTTTCTTTGTAATTTGTCAGAGCCCCCGAGTGAGGCGCGCTGTGTTCGTTCAGCCATATCTCCTCGGTCAAGGCTATTAATACTTTAGCGTATGTAATCTCCTGTCTGAAAGAGTACATGTGGTTGCATAAGTTACACGATACATTCACAGTGGATACTCACAGACAAACCTTCACATCTTCAGTTTGGAAAACACGCTGCTAGAAAAGGACTGTAGGATAGAATGGTGGATATATTCGCCTTCAGTCCTACAACTGTGTTGCTGTGTGTGGCCGTGCTAGTTTTGTTATGGCTGTTAACGCGGCGTCCCTCTGGGCTCCCTCCCGGACCCTCTCTGCTCCCGTTTGTTGGGAATGCCCTCTCCATGGGCTCCGATCCCCGGATCACGTTTAAGAAACTCAGGCAACAATATGGCGACATATTCAGTGTGTACATGTTCAACACACCAGTGATCGTCCTCAACGGCTACAATACTCTGAAAGACGCCATTGTCAGGAACGCCGACGTTTTCTCTGACAGGCCACACTCAATGGTAAATGACTTTATTGCCAAAGGGAAAGGTAGGTGCCTTGGATGTCCTACATGTCCATTACAAATATTAACTGAATATTGCAATATCTAGTGGCTTAGACTTCTAACACCTCGACCTGTATTTGACCTAAATACCTTCTCCATGTTTTTGCCGTGGATTGTACATATATAGGTCAGCTTAGGTCTTTGGCCCCTATTTCACCAGGACGGACCAGATTATATCAATCGGCTTCTCATGTCACACCTCTGCATGGATAAATGTCTGCACTTTGATCTGAGTGCTAAAACTAACTGCATAAGTAACTATTCCTAAATAACATTACTTATTATGTTAATGCTTTAGTTATGATGAAATCTTGATCAAAAGTCCAAACTGAGTATAGTGAGTGATTTTAGTTTTACATAAAAGAATTTCCCAAAATAGTTGATCTTAACACAATTTCAAATTTCCAAATCGTTATAAATTATGTATCAAGAATATTGCGAGAGATCAGATGAAAGTTTATTTGAAGGAATATATCATTAGATTTACTTTCAATATAAACCCCAGCGTTCCATTTTTTATTGGAGATCAAAGGATTGCTACTGTTTTTGGATCCCAAACCATCTCTTCCAGATTAAAAGACCATAGCTCAATTTTCACTCTGATCAGCTAGTTGGGTGAAATAAAACCTCGGAAATCATAGGTACTGTCAGTCCCCTGAGTCCCCAGTGAGGTTGTCTATCTTTGGTGACTGTTGGGGTGTAGCCACAGGCCCTCGTGTCTTTGCGAGGATTAAAGATTTTAAGAAAAATATAGAAATTTTGAGATGACCCCCGACTCGAATGCTTCACAGCATAATACATTATGACAAGACCGGACACTTCGGTGTACCCCACCCGCCTCCTTTGCCGATCGCTACGCTACCATCACATACAATTGACTAAAACTTAATGTAAACATAATCATGGATGATTGGCCTACTGATCATCACCCATGCCACCTACCAATTCTTTATAATTATTTCTGCAAGTCGATTGAAACCCAATTTTTACTCTCAACTAAACGATGACGATGTGTCCGCACAAAACGGGTGTGTGGTCGAATCAAGCCCTCTGGTTGGTTGATGCTTAAGGTGGCATTTACAACTAATGTTTGTTTTTTTAGAAGCCATTGCTCGAAAAATATTCATACATTAAGCAGTCGATGAAAGGAAAAAAATCCCGCGAATTTATACAGAATGTGCAGATTTGCAAGCATTGACCAATCAGAGGGCTTGATTCGACCACACACCCTTTTTGTGCGGACACATCGTCATCCATTTGTGTCAAGATCGTTTAGTTGAGAGTCAAAATCGGGTTTCAATCGACTTGCAGAAATAATAATAAAGAATTGGTAGGTGTCATGAGTGGTGATCGATAGGCCAATCATCCATGATTATGTTTACATTAAGTTTTAATCGATTGTATGTGATGATGGTAGCGTAGCGATCGGCAAAGGAGCCGGGTTGGGTACACCGAGGTGTCCGACCTTGTCATAATGTATTATACTGTGAAGCATTTCGAGTCGGGGTCATCTCAAAATTTCTATGTTTTTTAAAAAATCTTTAATCCTCGCAAAGGCACGAGGGCCTGCGGGCGTAGCCTGGTTTTGGTTAAGTATTCTTAATTGTTTATCTTTTGTTGATGATTTGACGTTTGTATCAGTTCAGCAAAACCTTTGTGGGCACATGGGGCTTATGGATAACCACTTGGAAAATCAGTTATTTCAAAATTTGTCTACACTTGTCTGTGACAACGCACGCACTTTTGTGTTTTACAAATCAGCATTTTGTTTGCCCGATGGGTCTAAGAAATTCCTTTACATGCTGCAAAATTAAATAGGCTATTTTTAACATAGTTAGATATTGTTTTCTTGAAAGGCTTTGTCAGTGAGTATGCCAACCCTTGTTGTTGTGTGTATTGAAATAATTGTATTTATACTGGTCTTTCATACGTTTTTCATTCAGGATTGGCTGCCACGTCTGGTATAGTCTGGCGCGAACAAAGACGCTTCGCCCTCAACACTCTCAGGGAGTTTGGAGCAGGCAGGAACATCATGGAGGACAAAATACACGAAGAAATCTCGCAGTTTCTCGAAGCCTTCGAGGCAGAACGGGCACAAGGGTTTGACTGCACGCGCCTGGTGTATAACGCAATAACAAATGTCATCTGCTCCACTGTTTTCGGCAAACGATTTGAATATACCGACCCGCTTTGTAATACATTCATGAAAGCTATGGAAGAAAATTTTGCCAACTTAGGCACGGTTGGAGTGTTGAATGTGCTGCCTATTATGCGATTTCTGCCAGGGGATCTATTCAAATTTAAGATCACAATGCAGAATATAGATACAATTCTTTCAAGTTTCATAAAACCTATGATAGAGGAACACTTGAAGAACCATGACGATGACAACGTGGACGACTTCATCCACGCCTACATCAAGGAAATGAGACTTCGCAAAGAGAAACAAGAGGACACGACCTTTGACTGTAAGCATAAACGAAGCTATATTTGTTGTAATAACATTGTTTGGGGAGAGAGTGGAGGTGGTTTTGGTTGGCTATTTGACAGTCCACAACTGAATTAATAATTTGTTATGGCATTGGGACGAGTTCAGGAAAATCATTGTGCGTCTGCATATTTGTGGAATCCGCAAACAACGTACTTCATCAAACCACACCCCCATCAACGCATCCTGGTACATTAAATGGCATACGACAAACCAGAGATCTTAAATATTTCATTCGGTTGATATTGTTTCAGTGGAGAATCTAACCATGGCTATAACGGACCTCTTTATGGCCGGAACAGAAACTACTGCCACTACAATTCGATGGACACTGGTATACTTTCTCCACCATCCGGAAATACAGGAAAAGTGTTTCCGAGAGATCCAGGAAATTATCGGCCAGAGTAGGCGTCCCTCAATGAAGGACAAGATCAACCTGCCCTACATGGAGGCAACCATTATGGAAGTCTTGAGACGAGCTGATATCGGCCCTACAGCTCTCCCAACACACCGTTCCCCACGATGTCCAGTTCAGGGGCTTCACGTTTCCAAAAGGTGTCCTCATCATACCGATGCTTGATTCCGTCCTACAAGACCCGGATGTGTGGGGTGACCCAGACAACTTCCGGCCTGACCGTTTCCTTTGACGACAGTGGCAAGATTATAAAGAAAGATGAGTTCATTCCCTTCTCTGGTGTGAGTTCAACACGTCATTTCATTATGTTTAAATTACGTAAGACATACCTTTTCCAATACCTATATATACACCTCGAGATTAAAGACAACGCCGTATACATGCCATTTTTGTCACTACCTATGTCAGTTGTCCAAATGAAACAAAAGCGAATTGTGAAAAATACCTAAATTTGATCTAGTTTAAATCATATCATACTCAAGATTTTCTAAGAAATGTTTTAACATGACATGATGTTTGACACCAACGGAAAATCAAATTGGATAATGAATGTTAGACATTTACTTAATCATTGTCGTTTTAGTGATGTTTTTATTTTGTCACAAAAGATTACTTTCCCGCGGTCATTTTATAATAACAATAATTTAATAAAATAATGGCCATTTATAAAGCGCCTGTTTCCACGCACTTGTGCACACTCAAAGCGCTAATTCATGATGCCGAATAATAGATAAGTACATTCAGACATGGAGTTCATTATTATACAGTCGCCCAAATCCACCCTTAAATCTGTGTTACGGTTTAGAAATTGCCGTGATAAAGGGTTTGTGAGTCCCCTTTAAACCAGCAAAATACAGACGAGTTTCAAATATTCAATAGTATATTGAAAAAACAATGGACAAGGTTACAATGATGACAGTACAGATTTCTAATACAATACTAATGAATAAAAAAATCTTAAACATAAACTAAATGCCTACAGTTACCACAGGTTTGATTCTTGTCGATGTACTGATTGAAGATAGTTGACGGCTGTTAATGTTCAATGACGAGGCGTTCGATCCCCGACCGCGTCATACCAAAAGACGTTAAAATATGGTACTTGTTGGTCCCTGCCTGGCGCTCGGCATTAATGGGTACAACAAGGATTGGTCGGCTCGGAGTCAGTATAATGTGTCTGAGTGGGGTATTCATGCTTCACTGCGGCATGGTATCTCAGTGGGCTAGCACTATAAACCCAGCTTCAGTCTGGGCTAGGACAAGCAGCCGCACATACACATACACACGCATGCACGTCGTCATATGAGTGAAATATTCTCAAGCACGACGTTAAACCCAATTTCACCTCACCTCACCTCACCTCAATGACGAGGCCTCGGAACGTCGATGTTAGCAGACAGATGAGCGTAAATCCAATGCAGCCCCCAAAGGCGTACGCGTGTCGTGCATCTCAGCACCTTGTCCTTATATACCTTTTATACAGTTCTGGACTTTTATAACAATAGCTACGTCTCACGACCATTCAGATCACACTACCAGCTTTTCAACTCTTCGAGAATCAGACCGGAAGTAAAGAGGAGGTAACTCTCACCTACTCTCAACAGGTGAAGCCTCAGCTTAAGCTTCAGGTGTGAGTTCAAACCCTCACTCAGCGCTTTAAACTTTTGTGACCCGTAACAACTATACTAGGCACATAAAGAAACTGTGCATACAATAATTTAGAATCTAAATTTATCAAACCTGTGTAGACACATAAGGATTTAAACTCAGAGATTAGTGACATGTATCCAACATGCATGCACGTGCCACTTTCCATGACGTCAGTGGGTTCGTCCTTGAGACGTGCAATACGTTGTTGCACGTGCATTCTGGGCAAATGAATGCTACACAATACTGTCACTTTGGAAAGCTCAACCCCTGCCCTTGCGATCGTTCAAAAAATTAAACGGCTATTGAAACGCATAGCATGCCAAGGCTCACGTCTGCACGACGTCAGGAGGCCATTGGGATGGTCCGTGGGGGAATGTCTCAACGACAAGTGGCTGCACATTTCCACTGCCACCGGAACACCATTTCTGCACTGGTGAGACGCTACCAGAACACAAATGACGTCATCGATCGGCCACGTTCTGGACGTCCACGTGTAACAACGCCAAGACAGGACAGATGGATAAGGGTGACCCATCTTCGCCACAGGTTTCAGACTGCAGTGATGACTGCCCGAACCATCCAGGGACTTCGCCGTATCCACCCCAACACAGTTCGACAACGTTTACGTAATCACGGGATCAGACCACGACGTCCCGCCATACGGCCTATCCTGACACAACGTCATCGACAAGCTCGCCGAATGTGGTGCCAAAATCATGTCCGCAGACCTCTGTTTTGGTGGAGAAATGTTGTTTTTACAGATGAGTCCAGGTTTAACATTTCCCATAGTGATGGACGTCAACGTGCCTATAGACGCGTGGAAGAACGTTATACACAGGCCTGTGTCTTGGAGAGGAATCCCTTTGGTGGTGGTTCCGTGGTGATTTGGGGTAGAATAACAGCACGCCAATGAACTCCTTTGGTGATTGTTCAGGGCAACTTAACTGGTGTTGGCTACAGGGATCAGATTCTTCGACCTGTCGCAATTCCTTTTCTGCAACGTCATGGCCCTGGGTTAACATTCCAACAGGACAATGCCCGCCCTCATACGGCAAGGGTTACTATGGATTTCTTGCAACACCACAACGTTGACTTACTGCCTTGGCCTGCAAATTCACCGGATCTCTCCCCGATAGAGCATGTTTGAGACGAGATGGATCGACGTCTACGCCGTTTTTCTCATCCGCCAGGCCCGCCTCCGTGGTGTAGTGGTTAGAGCGTCCGCCCGGAGAGCGGAAGGTCGCGGGTTCGATCCCCGACCGCGTCATACCAAAAGACGTTAAAATATGGTACTTGTTGGTCCCTGCCTGGCGCTCGGCATTAATGGGTACAACAAGGACTGGTCGGCTCGGAGTCAATATAATGTGTCTGAGTGGGGTATTCATGCTTCACTGCGGCATGGTATCTCAGTGGGCTAGCACTATAAAACCAGCTTCAGTCTGGGCTAGTACAAGCAGCCGCACATACACATACACACGCATGCACGTCGTCATATGAACGAAATATTCTCAAGCACGACGTTAAACCCAATTTCACCTCACCTCACCTCATCCGCCAGATAACGTCCTTGACCTTGCAACAGAACTTGAGAGAATCTGGCGTGCCATCCCACAAGTCTTCCTTGCACGTTTGATAGGCTCTATGCGTCGTCGATGCACTGCTGTTCTCAATGCCGATGGTGGACATACCCGTTATTGAGCTTGTGACATGGTCGTTTGACCCCTGTCCCGCTTGTGGACTCGTGATTGACTTTTTTAATTGAAATTCTCCCGACTTGTTATGGTCTCATGATCCCTCCATTAAAGTTTATATGTACCTTCCACATTGTTATCGTACTTATCAACTGGGATAATATTTTGACAATGTACAGTTTCTTTATGTGGCTAGTATAAACTTTAATGTAATTAATGTGACATAATTAACCAAAACACATTCTCAGAACATCTTTTTTTATAAATACAGAGCAATACCTTCACGATTTATATCTCAGAAAATACTTTGTTTAATTGTCCAGATTTTAGATGTTCTTTACATGATTTTATGATCGTGCGGGAGTAGATATTATAAACTCTGTCAAAAAAGAAACGCAACCCCTGTATTTTAGAGATTTTGATCTGAAGTTTTAAGACGACACAGCATTTTTATTATTTAAGACAGAAGTCTGAAATTTGGCAGAATAATAACCAAGATGGGCATGTTTAAAATTGTCATTTCAAAAGTCATCTCACAGACACCAGTTTGTCACCAGGGGGGCGTCTTTCTCAGTATCTCGTATGAGCACCACGAGCTGCAATCACTGCACGGCATCTCCTTGGACAAGAACGGATAAGACGCCGGATTCTTTCCTGGGGAATGGCTCTCCACTCCTGCAGTGCAACGCCGAGCTGTTGCAGCGTCTGTGGCGGCGGCTGACGTTGACGTACGCGTCGACCCAGAGTATCCCACAGGTGTTCAATAGGGTTGAGGTCTGGTGATTTAGAGGGCTATGGCAAGACATTGACGTTGGAATTCTGCAGAAAGTTCATTGTTGCACGTGCAGTATGAGGCCGGGCGTTGTCCCGTTGAAAATCTGTGTCTGTTGGTCAATAATCGGGAGAAGGTGAAGCTCTAACACGTGGTTGATGTAACGTTAGCTGTCAGGTTCCCTGGAACGATCACCAAGTCTGATTTCTGGTTGTATGAGATGGATCCCCAAACCATAACGCTTTCTCCGCCAAATCTGTCCCCTGTCGGACGCAGATGGGCGCAAAACGTTCATGACGTCTCCTATACACACGTTTTTCTTCCGTCGTGATGTTGCAAAAGAAAACGGGATTCATCAGAAAACCAGATGCGCCTCCAGTTTTGTAAAGTCCATATCCCACGTTGTTGCACCACCTGAGTCGTCGGCGGAGATGTAGGGGCGTAGTACAGGTCCAACAACTGGTCTACAGGCACGTAAACCCGCTTCTTCAGACGGTTCCTAATCGTTTGAGCTGACACTCTCCTCAAACCTGGTATTTGTGTGGCAGTCACGGTTGGTAGGGCATGCCGATTACGCAGGTGATGGACCCGGATGTACCGATCTTGAAGGGAGGTCGTGATTCTGGCCTTCCACTTCTCGGGCGATCGTTGGTCAAATTGAAGTTGTTGTAGCGGCTCCAAAGTCGGGATATCGTTGTTTTGTGAACATTTAGGTGCCGTGCAACAGTTCCAAAACTTTCTCCGGCTTGAACACGACCAATGGCGATATTTCGGTCGGCAGCACTCAATCGTGGCATTTTAACACAGCTTTTCGGCGACAAATGAATGAACATAATACGAAAGCACATGGGCTTTTATACACCCCTACATTAACTGCCATTTTCATGATTTGCATGTGTTTTTTTTGTGCGAAGTCACCATGAGGGTCATTTCATGCGTTGTGACGGAATAAGCAATAAAATACACTTATGCGTACAAATGCAGTTGTTTGGATGGTAATCTTCATTAATTACGTGTATAATTTCAATACATTCGAATAAAATTTAGTTTGGAAGCAATAACTTCATTCAAACGAATTTTTCATATCTGAGGACAGGGGTTGCGTTTCTTTTTTGACAGAGTTTATTATTCAAAGAGATATCGGCGTGTCTAAATTTGT